CCTGCTTGTAGGGCAAGAGAGAACGGTGCCCTCAGGCCAGTGGGGCTGTTCTGCCACAGCCTGCTCACGGAAGGAGAACGTGGCTTAGAATTTCTTGCAGGCTTGAAACAAACAAACAAACAGAGTGGCTTCCTGAGGGTGACTTCAGAAGAGAGATTTGTTTCTGGAATTGGCAGGGCTGGCCCGACCATTAGGTGCATCTAGGTGATTGCCTAGGGCTCCAGAGGTAGAGGAGTGCCAGAAGTCCCCCAAAGCCTAACAAATGGACTGACCACTCTGTGTGGGTCCACGCCAGCCCTCCCATGCTGCCAGGATGATCTGTGGCTGGCCAGGGGCTGCATTCCCCAGCTAGGTGCCATCTTCCCTGGGCCCTGTGCTCCTGGGTTACTCACCTTCCCTGGGCCAGGTACAACTCATCCGGGCATCATGCACCTTTCCCATGCTGGGCGTGGCTCGCTCAGGTGGCACACTAGCTGAAGTAGGAAAGTCTTATTTTGAGTGATCGCCTCCTCAAGACATGGAACAAACACCATAGACACGATGTTCTTCCACATGCCCCGACCAGCCACATAGCTTCTGGCTGGAAGCTGGCTCCCGTTACAACTGGCTGTTTGTAGGAGGGAGGGAAGCTTGACTGCAGTGCTGAAGGCAGAAGTTGATGAGATGTTTCCTGAGGGTGTGGGTCCTGAGGTGGACCTTGGCAAGATGAGGTGGCAGTTGTGAAAGAGAGGGGAGTTTCTGTGCTGCCCTTACTTGGGTTTCTAAGGCGTGACTTGGGTTTCGCAGGTGTTTCTGTGCTGCCCGTACGTGGGTTTCTAAGGCACTGAAGCCTCTTCCTTATGAGGAAAGGCTGAAGAGTCTGGGATTTTTCCGTTTAGAAAAGAGACAACTAAGGGAGGACATGATAGAGGTTTATACAATTACGCATGGGGTGGAGAGAGTTGACAAAGATAAATTTTTCTCCCTCTCCCAAAAGACTAGAAGCTAATGGGCAGTAGGTTCAGGATGGCCAAAGGGAAATACAACTTTACACAGAAAGTTATTAAAATGTGGAATTGGCTGCCAGAGGATGTAGTGACAGCCACAGGAATAGATAGCTTTAAAAGGGGATTAGATAGATTCATGGAGGACAAGTCTATCAATGACTACTAGCCTTGGTAGGCTTGCCAGTCCTCAGGTGGGGGATCCCCCAATTTTGTGTGGTCTGGCCCGCTGCTGGCCAGCGGGCTGGTGGAGGAAACCCCGCCCCAAACACATGTCCCCATGTGACACTGGTGACATGCTGACATTACTTCCAGAAGTGACATCATTTTGTCATGGGCGACATTCTACTTTTTGGGCAAAACTCTATGGTTTGTAGCCATTTTTACCATAGAGTTTTGCCCAAAAAGTAGAGCATTGTCCCGACACCACAGGAAGTGACATCAGCACGTTGCCGATGTCCCTGCTTACCCCCGGAACCCCCCCCCCATCCTCCACTGGGCAACCCTGAGTCATGGTGACTGAGGGGAACCTCCACACCAAGAGGCACTAAGCCTCTGAATCCCAGAGCCAGGAGGCAACACCGGAGGAACTGCTTGGCCCCTGTGTGAGACAGGATGCTGGACTAGATGGACCACTGGTCTGCTACAGCAGGGCTCTTCTTAAGTTCTTAAGTGACAGGAGAGTAGGCTATGTCCTGCCCCTTCTCAAGGCCAGCAGAGCCTCTCACGAAGGAACCGTACAAGATAAAAGCGAGGATTCTGATGAAGCTACAGGTACTGCCAACATGCTTAGTGGAGGAAGAGACTGTGAGAAAGGCGGGCATGCCCTCGGGTGCTTCTGGACAGATGGCTCCGTTAAAAGTAGTTCTCCAGATCTTGACAGGAGCCAAGGGTAAAAAGTATGTTCCCTCTAAGCTGAGTTTGTGTGAGCCAGCTCACAGTTCTTTAGCCTCCGCTCACAACTTTAATGCCAGTAGCTCACAAAGTAGATTTTTTTGCTTACAAGACTCCACAGCTTAGAGGTAACTTTGAACTCACCTGAAAAATGCATTTTTGATCCATGTTCAGAGTCATAATTGTGGGGAAAGAGGAACAGGTGGCCCATTCAGGCTAACAAGGCATTTGAAGATTCCTGGAGGAAAGCCTGGTATCGGCACCGGATGGGGGTCTGTGGCCGTGAAGGAGCCAGAACCAGCCAACATCCACTCCCGCTAAGGAGTCAGAGGCTATAGAGCTCCCTCCTCTGAATTATATCATTGAGTCTGACCACAAAACGAATGCCTCCTATTTGGGATAGGGAAGAGAAACCAAGGGGCCCTTAGGCAAATATCCCTTCTGTCTCCTCCCCACCACACCCCACCCAGGCCACACCAAACACTGCATAAAAAGAAATCACATCAGTGCTCAGTGTCCTGGGCCCCTGCCCTGGAATTCTGTTCCCTTTGCCCTCCCTTTTTGGCAGCTGTGATTATATCATGGTAGAGGTTGCCGGGTCTGGGTTGGAAAATAACTGGAGACTTTGGGGGGTGGATCCGGGAGAGGGCGGGGTTTGGGGAGGGGCCTCAGCGTGGTACAGTGCCATGGAGTCCACCCTCCAAAGCAGCCATTTTCTCCAGAGCAGCTGGTCAGCGGGAGATCAGTTGTAAAAGCGGGAGATCCCCAGTCCTACCTGGAGGCTGGCAACCAATGCTCCCTCTAAGCTGTGGAGTCTTGTGAGCAAAAATCCTATTTAGTGAACTACTGGCATTAAAGCTGTGAGCGAGCGATTTGGCTACTGCATCAATTAGTTTGCTCTGGAGCCCTCCTTCCTGAACTAAGACAGAAATCTGTGAGCCAGAGGCTAAAAAGCTGTGAGCTGGCTCACACTAACTCAGCTTAGGGGGAACACTGCTGGCAACCCTATACCAGGGTAAAGGAGGAGAGCATGGCAAGCCAGAAGGAAAGCGATACCAGAGCTGCAGTACTCGTGCCTCCCAAGAAAAGATATGGGGTTGGTGAGAAGCGGAGGAACTAGTCATGATGACCTTAAAAGAAGGGGAATAGGCTGTTGCTTTGGGTCCCCTTTGGAGCTGCGGTGGCTCAAGAGGTTAAGATGCTGAACTGCATTACTGTGATTTTTATGTGGCTTGTAAGGCAGGGTTAACCAAGTGGTTAAGACACTGAACTGCAGGCTATGGAAAGTCGGTAGTTCAGCAGTTCGAGACCCGAGTGTGCCGCATGACGGAGTGAGCTCCCGTCTCTAGTTGCAGCTCCTGCCAACCTAGCAGTTTGAAAGCAAGAAATTGCAAGTAGATAAATAGGTACCACTTCGGTGGGAAGGGAACAGCGTTCCGTGCGCCTCGGTGTTTAGTCATGCCGGCCACATGACCACGGAAACGTCTTCGGACAGCGCTGGCTCTTCGGCTTTGAAACGGAGATGAGCACCGCAACCCTAGAGTCGGACTCGACTGGCTTTCGAGCGAGGGAACCTTTACCTTTACTTGGGTCCCCTTTGGGGAGAAAGGCAGGGTATAAATTAAGTAAAGGGAGTGAACTTGATAGAAACGTCGGTCTGATGCTTGGGGCTAAGCAAGGAGGCCCTCGGTCCCTTAAAGTGCACCCCAGGAAAGGAAACTAGAAGAGGTGCAAATTGGTTAAGGTGCGTGTGTGTGTAAAGTGCTGTCAAGTTCAGGGCTGGCTCGAGGTGTTTCTGCGCCCTAGGCGAGGCTGCCTTATGGCGCAGATGCCAACCTCCTGGTGGGGCCTAGAAACCTGGAGACCTCTGGAGCCAGCCACCCTTTTGCTGCCGCCGCCACCGCCTCCTTCCCCCCATCGCCACCACCACCAAAGGGGGGGAGGAGGGGGGAGACACAGCTTGGCGCCCCATCCAGGGCCTAGTGCTCTAGGCGAATGCCTAGTTCGCCTAGTGGGTGAGCCGGCCCTGGTCAAGTTGCAGCTGACTTACGGTGCCCCTGCGGGGTTTTCGAAGCAAGAGAGTGCTTTGCCATTGCCTGGCTCCGTGGAGGAACCCTGAGCTCCCCACCCAAGTCCTCACCAGGGCTCACCGTGCTTTGCTTCTGAGATCTGATGAGATCGGGCTGGCCTGAGCCATCCGGACGAGGGCTACAGCATCGATATGTTACAGGAGGCTTCCATGCGCTGTCGCAGTGGATGGCTGCTCGTAACCTCTGATCTCCCAGCTGCCCCAGCATCTGCTGTCTGTCTCCTGCTCCCTTAAATGAAATCTGTCTTTTCCCGCTTGCTGCCCCTTAGATGGGAACCAATGTTCCCTCTAAGAACATTGTTCCCTCTAAGCCGCACAGTCTTGTGAGCAAAAATTCTCTTGGCATTTCAGTGGTGAGCCAGCGATTTGGCTACCGAATAAATTAGTTTGCTCTGGAGCCCTCCTTCCTGAGCCAAGACAAAAATGTGTGAGCCGGAGGCTAAAAAAACTGTGAGCTGGCTCACACTGACTCAGCTTAGAGGGAACACTGATGGGAACTGCCTCCCAGAGCCCCGATCGTGATGCCCCCCCCCTTCTCCCTTCCTTCAGGTCCCTCCTCGGCATCCACCTTTTCTGTAAAGCCTTTGACACAGACCCCGTCTCCTGCCGAAACTCACCCCGTGCATGTGTAACTGGGATGACTGTAGATAATTTCTTTCCATGTAAGCTCCGTGGGGCAGAGACTTGCCTCATTGTCCTCTGCAAATGTTGAGTTATGGTTATATATGAATGGGATGGACATATGTACAGTAGCCCCTGTCATGTCTTGTTTAGCTCTAGAGAGAGAAGTGGTTTTGCATCTTCTCTGGTTAAAGAAGGAAGTGCCTCTGAGCATACTAAGAGTGTGTGCTCCCCTTACCATTGATAAACTGTAATCGGGCTCCCTGCCCTCATGTCTAGACTGGGGGGGGGGGACTTCATTGACTGGCATGTGAGCTCTTTCCTGCCTTTTCACACAAATGTAACCATGTCCCATGTTTTCTTTTTTTTCTCTCTTTCCAGGGCGACTCTGGGGGACCCCTGGCCTGCAAGCACAACGGCACTTGGTTCCTGGCTGGAGTGGTGAGCTTTGGCTTTAGCTGTTCGGAGGTCAACCGGCCTGGCGTCTACACCCGGGTCACCTCCTACATGGACTGGATTCAACACACCATGGCCCAGAACACAAAGTCTGGTAGTGGAGCCCATCTCCCAAGTGCCAATTCTGCTCTCTTTGTGGTTCTCCTCCTCCTCCTCGTGGTCTTGACCAATAGCATTTCATGAACTGCCCTAGCTCCACCCATGACACTTCAAAATGGCTGCCGTGCTTCACTAGGCGAGGCTGGAGGGAGAGCTTGGAGTGGCTGGAGGCTGTGTAGGTTGTGCTTTTAAGGAGAGGGCATTCGAAAGAGCTCTGCCACGGTTGGAAAGATCTGTCTTTATGCCTCCTTATAGAATAGACAAGTAGCCATGAAGCCTAATCAAAAGGAAAAGTGTGGAAATGGAAACATAAAGAGAAATCAGGATTGTGGAAAAAGAAGTGCCATTAACACATCAGAGAAGGAACTGTCTGGAATATGGCAAGGCCAAAATACAGAATAATTAAAAAAAAACTGCAACAGCCAAAATGAAAACAAAAAGTTCTCTGTAAACCAACTGCTGTGAACATACGTGAAGCCACCTTTTACTAAGTCATGTCATTAGCTTACCTACCCAGTACTGTCTGCTTTGATTGGTTCTCCTGTCTTTCCCATGACTTGCTGCCTTCGCTGGAGATGCCAGGGACTGAACACCCACATGAACACACACGAAGCTGCCTTATACTGAATCAGACCCTTGGTCTATCAAAGTCCTTATTGTCCATTCAGACTGGTGGCGGATCTCTCTGGTCTCAGGCAGAGGTCTTTCCCGTCACCTACTGCTTGGTCCTGTTAACTGGGGATGCCAGGGATTGAACCTGGGACCTTCTGCTTGCAAAGCCGGTGTTCTCCCACAGAGCTACACTACAATTGAGATGCCAACCCCTGTACTGTCAATTTTATCTGTGAGGGGTTTTTCTGAGGCCATTGTTAGATGCCTTTCCAGCTCTTTAACTGGAGGTCCTAGGGACTGACCCTGGATCTTCAGGCGTAGCATATGCTTTCATACTGAGTTCCTCCTGAACATAAGAGTCATATCACTGTGCTTATGCAGGGCTTTCTCATGGTTTGTGCCCAATGGGTCTTGAAGGCAGGTTTTAGGAGAATGGGCTGAAGAAACCATAGATTTTTAACTTAATTATTTTTAAAAACCAGTTTCAGGGGTGTAGTTGTAGGCAAATGTATGTGCATGTGAGTGTAACTGAACTCGGTGGTACTTTTCTGAAAGTATACATGCAGCAGAATCAAGCTGAACACATGTGAACTCTCCGTGCTTGACAGCAAAGGATAGACAGGAGGCGCATACAAAAAGACTTGATCGTTCTCCTCCCCCAGGGAGAGGACAGGCAAGCAATAACCAGGGCTATTTTTGGGCAGGAACGCACAGGAACGGAGTTCCGGCTGGCTTCAGAGTTGGCCATGCCCACTACACCCAAAACCTTTGCGTGTGTTGTGTATGCAGCCTGACGAAGCCGGGCATGCCCGGGCTTGTCCAAAGACCCAAAACCTCAAGCTTCATGCCGAAAGACAATGGGCCAGTAGGATCCTAGCCAGGCCCAATGAAAGGGCTAGGTCCCAAGCCGTGAGGCCAATAGGTATCTCGGTTACTGTAAATAGCCTGTCGGGAGTGGGGTGTGTGTTCTGGTGGTGGGTTTCTGAAGGAATATAAGCCGGCCTGTGAGCCGGCCAAGGTGTCTTGTTCCTGACTAATAAAAGGTATGCTTAGCTGAAATCACTCTCCGTATGCATACTTTTCAGCGTGCATGGCTACAGAGGGAAGGCCTGGAGAGTAACAACCCCCCCCCCCGTGACTCCAAGGTGGGCGGGCCAGGGGGGCCCCCTGGAAGGATCAGGGAGGCCTTTAAATGCCTCCCCGTGCCTTCCCTGGCCTGTCCAAGGGCCGGCTTGCCCGGGCTCCCTGCAGCCACGGTTCACCCAGGCAAGCCAAGTGAATGCAGTTTAAACTGCCTTCCCTTTCTTTCAAGGGGGGGCTTGCCCGGGCAAGCCAAGGGAAGGCATGGGGTGTGGTCTAATATGCTAATAAGCAGCACTGTCAGGGGTGTGGCCTGTTATGGTAATGAGTTCCTGCTGGGCTTTTTCTACAAAAACAGCCCTGGCAATAACCATGATCCAGAGCATAGTTTTTCACACTTGATCCCACTAAAATCAATGACACTTAAGATCACATCCCTCTCACGTAGTTTCATGTTAAAATGGAACGTCCTTAGTTGTATGAATTGCACAGCAGTGAAACAACAGAAGTTGTGGAATCCTTGTGATTATTCATTAGCACTTTGGACAGAGTTGCTTGTTGGGCTCAAAGACCTCTTTTTGTGATAGTGAATGATGTGAGCAGACAACCTCTGTACTTCTGTATTTTCCACAGTGCTCAGCAAGCTGTTGGGACTAGGAGTCTGTTAGAGACAGTGGCCGAGTGGTGCAATACGCTTTTCTATATGCTTCAAATTACAGTCTGGGGGAATCACATGTTGGAATGGTGCCCTATGAAGAAATACTTCCCCGCACACAGAAAGCTGGTGTGTCATGGAAAAGGCAGATTCCTGCATTTGGACCTGACAGATTTTTATAGATGCAACTGATTGAAACCTTGAAACCTTGCATGAACCCTGTACAACAGAACCACGAGGAACCAGTTGCACCCGGCTTCTGCTCAAAGATAAGGAACAGTTCCAGCAGACAGATGCATTTCCCCTCCCTGAAAAGCATAGAGCCACATGCAGACTTATACTTCCAGCTCTTAAGTGTGGAGGAAGAGGTACTCTATTTACCCTGTCCTCTGACCAGAGGTCATTTCGGGGGGGATCGCAGTTCCCCCGGGTGAGGTACGGGGGGCGGGGCACATGATGAAGCCCCGCCCGCTTCCGGCCGCCCCGCTTCCGGCCCTCATTCAGCCAGGAGGAGGCAGGAGGAGGGTAAGTTGCTTCCTCCCTGCCTCTCCCCACCCCTGCCTGCCTGGGGCCAGGGAGCGCCTTTGCAGGGCTTCCTTGCACTCCCGCCTGCCTTGCAGGTCCACCGCTGGGCCCCTTATGGGGCTCGGCAGTGGAGCTGCAAAGCCGGCGGCGGCAGCTGGGACCATTGGGGGCGGGGTGTGTGGCCTTATGACACACTTCCGGTGATGTCAGGGGGTGTGGCATATGCTAATGAGTTATGCTAATGAGTTCCCCTAGCTCTTTTTCTACAAAACAATCCCTGGCTGAGCTGAATGTGAGGAAAGGAAGAAAGAACAGAAAGGCTATTTGGAGAAAATGATCTACTGTAGCAGCCATCAGTGCACCATCTTGTCCTTCACCAGTGATGGCTGAGTTGATGGGTTTAGGCAAGTTTGATTCAGTGTTGGAGAAAGGCAAGTTTAGCGGATAATAGAATGCCTTTTACCATGCTCAGGCTTCCCTGTGGCCCTAGTGGTTGCAGCCAGAAATGCATTTTAAGAACGAATGGAAAGACATTCAGCTGAATGTCGCATGATGATTCAAGGGTCCTCCAACCCCCCCCCCCATTTTTTCGTCCCCCCATTAATCGTGTTTTATCTTATTTGACTTACTTGGCTGCTTCCAGTTTCTCTCAATTTCCCAAACTGGCATTTGCCTCATAAACGACAACTATCTTTCCTAGTTAGAAACTGAAGGAAAGTATCTGTTCTCTTACTATAATTAAACAACAGGGTTTACCTTGAATCTTCCTGCTGTGATAAACTGGAGAAGCTGAGCCACAGCTGTAATTAATTATTTTCTAGCATCTATCCTCTTGCCAAATATCATGCCAGAGAGCTTCAAAGCTTCAAACCTTTTAGGCACATGAAGATCCCAAGGCTTAAACTATGTGTTTTTCTGCACTGCCCTCTGCTGGAAAGACATGATCTCTCTTTTTGTGTGCATATGATGCATGTGTAGACATACATGTCCTCTACAGTATTAAAGACTATAATCCAGTAGGGATACCAGGCCACTGCCTAACACCCGTAAGAGCTTTGGGTGTGTGTGTGTGTGAGGCAAGAAGCAGAGATGGCACTGGCCTACATGTTGACATCACATCTGAGCGAAAGTCCAGGTACAGCATCTGCTGATGTTCTAGAAACATTCTATGGCAAAACCATAGAGTCTCTAGAGTGTCACCTGAGGCTCTGATGTCACAGACCAGATGCAATGTCATCCGGTAGCCCAATGTGATTTCCGTCTACGCCCATCCACCGTCATCCCACTGGTTGCAGAGGCGAGGGGGCAGTGGTGGAAGAATGTCTGACTGAGGCAGGCAACAGGCATTTCTCTAACCCAGTGACCATGAGCAAGGGCCATTTTTTAAAGTCTGACTGCATGTCCAATACGAAAAAGTACATCAAAAGTGAACTTATGTTATTTTGTAAATCTGCCCCTAAAAGAGAAGCCATGCTCGTTCAGGCCAGCCAAGCCGTCAGTCCAACATCCTTTTTCCAACAGTGGCCAAGATGCCAAAGAGACGTCCAGTAGCCGGCAACAGTCCTCACCTGCTGATTGCTCTCCAGCAGCCTTCTGCTGTGAAATGGGTAACTTGTAGGAGATAACAAAGCATAACGTTCCTTAATATCATATTGAGACAAGCAAGGAAGGAACAATGCATTGTGAATACATCCCAAAGAACTCTGCAGCAAATTCCAAAATAAGAAGTCTCCTCAAAGCCACCGGGGGGGTGGAGAGATATTGTTCCTGTTGGAAATCTGATGAGAAGTCTATCCAGTTTCCCCTTTTGAACAGCCTTTATTCTTTCTGGGTTTTGCTTCCAACACAGTCAGTTGAAGGGTAATAAAAAAAATGCAGTGACTGCTGAGTCATACAATGAATAAAAGCACTAAAATACTGGTGTTATAAAACGTTGTACTGAGGAAGTAAAAATAGCACATATGAAGAACTTTGCAATCTCCCTGGATCTGAAGTATCACAAATAACAGACTGAATCAAAGATTCCCCAAAGAGTTTGCCCTCAGACTCACAGCTCATGATTCATCACAAGTTCTGAGATACTGACTGTATTTATCACTTATGTGACTGGCCAGGAATTCATGAAAATTAATTATAAATTTCACTTTTGGTGGCATGCAAGGGCTAAATCATATGCTATATGGGACATCCATGAATAGATTTTTCACCACATTTTAAACCCAAGAAAGCAGTTGAGGAGGGAGTGACTTGGATCATGGTTGCAATGCTGTGTGTTAATTCCCCCCCCCCCCCCCGACATTTTCTAGATAGAAATCTCTGCACCGCCCAAGCAGCTATTAGCTTTACTAGGGTAAAAAGACAGGAGATGTCTTTTTCTCCTCAGGATCAGTAAGCTGGTGGGAGAGGGGAGTTCTATCAGCAAAAAATCACATGTAGAAAAGGGTTGATTTCCAAATCATCTCCCCGCAGCTGTTTTTTCCAGAGTCAAAAAATACACCTGGTCATGGATAAGACAGGAGATGTCTTTTTCTCCTCAGGGTCAGTAAGCTGCTGGGAGAGGGGAGTTCTATCAGCAAAAAAATCACATGTAGAACAGGGTTGATTTCCTAATCATCTCCCCGCAGCTGTTTTTTTCAGAGTCAAAAAATACACCTGGTCATGGATTATTTACATCATTTGAAATTTGATCCCCAGCACTTTCCTTCGTATTCCAGTTCGCGTGAGCTTCCCATTGCATGTGGTGATTTTGGATATAGCTAAACGCCAGCACCTTGAAGAAGGAAACTCCATTGGGTGAATCGTCAGGTGAAGGAAGTGAAATGAACTTCTCAGAGGAGAGCAAATGTGAGACACCCCAGGACGAGCGGTAGAGGGAAGGTCCTTGATAGTCCACTGTTCGTGATTTTGGATATAGCTAAACGCCAGCACCTTGAAGAAGGAAATTCCATCAGGTTGAAGGAAGTGAAATGAGCTTCTCAGAGGAGCGCAAATGCGAGACACCCCAGGACGAGGGGCAGAGGGAAGGTCCTTGATAGTCCACTGTTCTTCCCTTCACCATCACCTGCTCCGTTCCTGCAGTCCGCAGAGCTCATGCTTTGTAGATGTTCAGAGATCCAGTTGGCATAGTAAGGCACGGAGGCGTAGACGCCAGGGCGGTTGGCTTTAGCACAACCCTCTCCCCAGCTCACGACCCCAGCCAAGACCCAGCGGTCCTCACGTGGACAAACCAAGGGCCCTCCAGAGTCACCCTGTGGAGACAGAAGGAAGATAGCATTTGTGGGAAACAAGACTGAAATCAGATTCAGGATATGTGTTGGGATTGGTGGTGGCGGAGAGTGCCTTCGAGTCACAGCTGACTCATGGCGACCCCCTGTGGGGTTTTCGAGGCAAAGATATTCCAAGGTGGTTTGCCATTGCTTACTTCTGCATCACGACCATCGTCTTCCTTGGAGGTCTCCCATCCAAATATTAGCCAGGGCTGACCCTGCTTAGCTTCTGAGACCTGATGAGATCGGGGTAGCTTGGCCTATCCAGGTCAGGGTCTTGGTGGAATTAGCTTCCTATTTATTTACTTCACTTTAACCAAGCTATTACTCTTTTACCTTCAGGCTTCTGTTTTGGTATGCTAGGATAATAAAGTGGGCAAACCACACAGGGTTGTTGTGAGGATTACTTATACGGATTGCTTTAACCGCTTTGGGGGATACTGTCCCCCAAACGTTCATCTGGCCCTTAATGTTATTTTAGGTATTGGACGAAAGCTGTTTTATTCACTCAGGCTCCGGGTAGATCTTCACAAAGCTGCTTATGCTGACTTCTGATCTCACCTGGATTTTAGTGGGATGCAGTCGTTACATTTTATTTTATATTCGTTTTTGTTCTACTTCAACTGCTTCATTGACAATCTGCTGGAAAGGCAGCGTAGGCATTTTTAAAAGACCCAAGCTGATAAAGTGCAATATAAATTACAAAATATTTATCTTCATTATTATTCAGAATAATTTCTCCCCCTTTGGAGCATAGGAGAGCCTCGAAGTTTGGGAGGTACTCTCTCAGCTAGACCCAGGATGGGAAGAACTGGCCGATGGGCTAGGTTCCCATGAGCAGTTTTCAGTATGACAAACCCTTATGTATTTCAACACCTCACCTCACAAGAGTGAAGGGATGCCAGGTCCGACTCAGGAAATATCTGGAGACTTTGGGGGTGGAGCCAGGAACCAGGATGTTGCCAGGTGAGGCCGACAAGCCGTAAGGGAGTTCTGGCTGCCACATTTAAAGGGACTGCATTCCTTTTAAATGCTTCCCCTCCACTGGAAATAATGGAGGATGAAGCACCTTCTTTTGGGGCTCATAGAATTGGACCCCCTGGTCCAATCTTTTTGAAACTTGGGGTTTTTTTTTTCCAATGGAGGCCCCACCAGCTATGCTAAAAACTTGGTGCCTCTACCTCAAAAAACAGTCCCCCCCAGAGCCCCAGATACCCACAGATCAATTCTCCATTATACCCTATGGGGACTGGTCTCCGTAGGGTATAATGGAGCTCCCAGCAACCCCACCCCCACTTTCTGGCAGCCCTGAAGCAGGGGGAGGGGCTCAAAACCAGGGGCTCCTCTGCCACAAACTGGGGATTGACAACCCTACAAGAGTGAAGTACTGGAACAGTGACGCCTCAGGAGAAGTCCCTAGAGTTGACAACCTCCATGTGGCACCTGGAGATCTCCCACTCTTACAGCTGAGCTCTGGACAATCAAGATCAGTTCTCCTGGACAAAATGGCTGCTTTGGAGGGTGGACTTTATGTCATTGTACCCCACTGAGGCCCCACCCCTCCCCAGGCTCTGCCCTTCAAAATCTCCAGATATTTCCCAACCTAGAGCTGGCTACTCTAGGAGCACTCCATTTCTGAACTCTCTGGCCATGAGGATCAACTGGGCCTGTCTGCCAGTTTCCAAATGCCACTGACTCACAGCCAAACTGCACGTGACGGTGAACATGGATCCAACCCGTGGCTGCTGCCACCATTTTGGAAGAACATTTAGCCGTTCAAAACTTGCCACGATGACCTGATCCTGATTGGGCCCATGCTAGGGTGGCACCAGGCAACTGGGCCCTCACAGCTATTTTTAAATGGCTACATTTCCCTCTAAAATGTCATTGGCCGTAGGATCCATGGCTGCTGTAATGTGTAATTTGGCCCCTGGTCACATGGCCCATTCCTTTTGGGTTTTGCCTAGATTCATGGCATGCGACCTACTGCCTGCCTGCCTGTGCTATATGATCAGGCCCCAGACTATCTGCTTCCATTGTTTTTAAAAGTAAAGCTAGGCTTGCCAGTTCTGGGCTGGGAAATACCGGGGGTGGAACCTGAGGAGGGCGGGGCTTGGGGAGGGGAGGGACTTCAGCAGGGTACAATGCCGTAGTGCTCACCTTCCAAAGTGGCCATTTCCCCCCCCAGGTAAACTGATCTGTGGCCAAGAGATCAGTAGTAATCTCTGGAGATCTCCAGCTGCCACCTGGAGGTTGGCAACCCTAGGGCTAACCCCCTGTTGATCCAAAGATATGAGGCAAAACACAAGCATTCTGCTCAATTGTCTGGAGAGAAACAAGCTTGCTCCCACCTTCCATTGTTCTAGCCAATGAAGGAGTGTTGCCAGGTCCCCACTGGCCACTGGTGGGGGAATGGGGGAGGGGAGAGAAGGTTGCCAGATCCAGCCTGGGAAATGCCTGGAGATTTGGGGATGGAGCCTGGGGAGGGGTGGGGCCTCAGTGGGGTACAATGCCATAGAGTCCACCCTCTAAAGCCTCCATTTTCTCCAGGAGAACTGATCTCTGTGGTCTGGAGATGAGCTGGAATTCCAGGGGATCCCCGGTTTCCGCCTGGAGGGTGGCATCCCTAAGTTACAGCTATGATGACTAATGATATGCTTGCGGTCTCTTTCTTTGATAAACTTTGCAGTTGGCTGAGAAGAAAGCAGGAACAAATCCTGCGAAAGGGGTCAGGTGAAAAGAGGCTTCCTTTGATAACTTCTAGGGTTGCCACTTTTAGGTTGGGAAATTCCTGGAGACTAACGGAGGCTTGGGTTGTGATGCCGTAGAATCCACCATCCAAAGGGAAACTGATCTCTGTAGTCTGGAAATCTCCTGGGATTACAACTCCCGACTGGAGGCTGGCCACCCTACCCCCAACGTTTGGATGAAGGAGCGGACAGGAAGTAGCTGGGAGACAATGCAACCAATAGGAGGCCAATAATTAGCAAGCAATTTGCATGAAATGCAAATTAGGTATCCTGGATTTGGGGCAAGGGGAATATAGCAACCTTGCTCTGCTCGCCCCCCAGGGCAGCTTACTGGCTGCCCTCTCCATTCCCCACCACCATTTAAAGAGCTTTCGGAAGAAAAATGAAGGCAGCTCCTTGGCAGCTGACATCAGTACAACATCACTTTTGGCAAGAAACCAGAAGTGACATCATTGAGATGGGGCAACAACGTAGGGTTCACCCCAAACTCTATGGTTTTAACCAGGGGTCATTTCGTAGAAAAAGAGGTGCAGGAGCTCATTAGCATAACTCATTAACATAACTTATTTGCATATGCCACACCCCCTGACATCACCAGAAGTATGTCAGAAGGCAACACCCACCGCTCAGGCTCCACTGGACTGTTTTGGATTGCTAGCTATTGGGGGGGGGGAACGTGCAGATCTGCCCTCACAGAGGAGGGAGAGCTTGTACCTGAATAAAACTTGGTCTTAAAGGTGCCACTGGATGTTTTGGACCGGGGGGCCAGGGGGAGCTCTGCAAGTTACCTGGCTGCTTCTTGCTCTGACTGAGGGCTGCTGGGAGCAGGGGGTGGGGCTTGTTGCATGTGCCCACCCCCTGGGCACTTTACTGCCAGAGCTCCGCTCCTGTGCGCTCCTGCAGGAAATGACCCCTGGTTTTAACCAAGATGGTCCCTGCCCCACAAACTCTCCAAGCAGCTTGCCAATGTCAGCTGGCCACCCTACCCCACCCAAGGCCAGAGCCCTGCATGTTATGGAGCCTCCTACCTGGCAGGCATCCTTTCCACCTTCTTCGTAACCAGCACAAATCATATCTTCCTTGACGGGATTGGGGTCCAGGTCAGGCTCTGGGTTAATGTTGAAAAGGGCATTGCAGGCATCTCTGTTTATGATGGGCACCTCCACTTCCCGAAGGGTTTGTGGGTACTCCAAGTTTACTGTAAGGAAAAAAACATGGGAGACCTTTATATTCATGGAACAAAGAGGCAGGAGACTGATGCCCGTTTTTGAAGGGGAGGTGATGGGGACCTCCCAGGTCCTATAATCCTCATGGACAGGCAGGAGACAAGATTGTCTGTATTCCACAATTGCCCCAGTTTGGTATTCTGTAATGTATCTAAACCCGACCACGTGCGAGGCAAGTTCTCCACGCGGTCACGCAAAGCCTCCGAGCTTCGCTCCGGGAGACAATGGCCCGAGCGGATCCTAGCCCACACCAACCAGAGGGCTAGGATCTTGGTCAGGACCTATGGAACTCTTGGCCACTGTATATAGCCTATCACTGAGTGGGGGTGTGTTCTGGGAGTGGGTTTACTGAACATAGAAGCCGGCCTGCGAGCCGGGGTTTTTCCATCTTGTTCTGTACCAACAATAAAGTATGAGAGCTGAAATCACTTGCCAGTCTCAGTACTTTTCACTGGCAACGAGGATGGGATCCTTCTCCTCATGAACAACGACCACAAGTATTGCATTGCGCCCTGACACCGAGGAGAGCACTGCTTCACGCTCCGCTTCTCCAGTCACCGCACCCCGCACCGCTCCTAGCCCCGCGCCTCATCGCTTCACCGACTCGGACGGGTCCAGCCAAGCTTCGCGCCCGCAACGATCACCCCACCGCTCCCAAACCTCTCCTGCCACGTGAAGTTCCCAAGATGGCCGCGACACGTGGTAACATCTCAGTTTTTGATGTCACCCGGCCCGAGCAATCGGAGGCCTGGCTGGAGACCCGCAAGAACCATCTGACGTACCATGATGTGACGGACGCCAAGAAGAAGAAGGCCCTGCTCCTCAGCTCTTGTGGCATCGATACCTTCAGGTTGCTGAAGGACCTGATAGCGCCCAAGCAGACGAAGGAGGAAACCTACGAGGTTCTGGTGAAGGCGCTCACTGATCACCTGGCGCCCAAACTGACGAAATTTGCCGAGCACATGGAATTTTTTGCGCAAGTCCAGGGGCTGGATGAACTGGCCTCCAACTTCCTGGCGGGGCTCCGGAGAGCAGCCACAAGGTTCCCCAGCCTGGCAGACGCTCTTTTGAACCAGTTCCTGGTGGGCCTCCGCGAGCCCAAGCTACCCAGGAAGCTGACCAGCCAAGACAACCTGGATATCGACAAGGCATTAAAAGAGGCTGCCGTGTATGAGAAGTCTCACCAGAGCTGCCGCGCCAAGGCAGTCCATCGCACTGATGCTAACCCTGTTTTGGACATCTCTGACGAGGAAGAGGTTTTTGCATGTCCAACGCCCGTCGCACTGACCGTCTCGTCCGCCTGGGGCGGCCACAGGCAAACTGTCGCCTCCTTTGGCATCCTGTACCAGCTGTGGGGAAGCCCACGAACGCCGGACCTGCCGGCTCAGAGACGCCATTTGCCGAACCTGCAACAAACAAGGCCACATTGCCCGTGTTTGCCATTTCCGAGGTCAACACCGGAAGACGTCCATGCACCAGGAGTCCTCGGATCTTCACACGCTCACCTCACACCACCAGCCGCACCAGGTATGTAACCTGCCCCCGAGAGCCTCAACAAATTGCATGTAACAGTGTTGCTTGAGGGGTCCCCCTGTAAAATGGATGTAGACACGGGGTTGTCCTTTTCCATAATTTCCGCTGCCACACTGTGCATGCTATGCCCATGGGGGGGACCCCTCCTAGAAAAGCCACACGGGTTGTCTTTACAGGACTTTAACAAAAACCCTGTGGCGATCTGGGGCTGGGGCAGGTTCTGGGTGCAGTATAAGGACTTCAAGGGCCATCTGGATTTGCTGGTGGTGGAGGGTCAGCTCACGAGTCTATTGGGGCTTTCTGGGTTTGGGCCCCTCGGGTCAATCAGGTCCGGTCACAGGATTTTGCCAGGGTCTGTGACGAATTCCCGGGGTTTTTTGACGGCACACTTGGCTGGTTCACCGGGCCCCCCATCTCCATGGACTTAGACTCCAATGTCCGTCCCATCCGAATTAAGGCTCGTCATCCCCCTCTCGCCATGAAGCCCAAGATTGAGGCCGAATTGGATCGCCTTGTGGTGCAGGGGGTGACTGAACCGGTCTCCCATGCTAGGTGGGAAACTCCGATTGTTACCCCAGTAAAGCCTAATGGGAATGTCCGCATTTGCACAGACTACAAATGCACTTTGAATAAGGCGCTCCAGGACCTCCGGTGCCGGTGGTCAGCCATGTCCTTGCTTCCTTGGTGGGTGCCTGTGTTTTTGGGAAATTGGACTTGGCCCAGGCATACCAGCAGCTGCCGGTTGATGCCGCCATGGCCGAGGCTCAAACAATTGTGACACACAAAGAGGCTTTTAAGGTCAATCGATTGCAATTTGGGGTGAGCGTGGCACCGGGCATTTTCCAGAGTTTCATGGACTCTCTTCTCAAAGGAATCCCTGGAGTTCAGCCATTTCTAGACGACATGCTGATCGCGGTGCCCGACGTGGGATCCTTCACTGACTGGCTCAGGGCTGTGCTCCAATGCTTTGACTCAGCGGGGCTTAAGGTCAAACGTGAGAAGTATCTCCTGGGGGGTGCCACGGGTGGAGTTCTTGGGGTTTGCCGTGGATGCCCGGGGTATCCACCCCATGGCTGAAAAGGTCAAGGCCATCACCCGAGCCCCTGAGCCCTTGTGTAAGTTGGAGCTGCAGGCCTTCCTGGGGCTGCTCAATTTTTATAATTCCTTCCTGCCCCTGAAGGCCGTCGTAGCAGAACCCCTTCACCGCCAGCTAGATAAGAACACCTCTTGGGTCTGGGGGCACATACACACCGCCGCTTTCAGGGCAGTGAAGGACCTGTTGGTGTCAAACTCGGTCCTTGCCCACTTCAACGAAGCATTGCTGGTGGTCCTAGCATGTGATGCATCACCCTGTGGCATGGGGGCAGTCCAGGGCCACCGTCTGCTGGACGGCTGCGAGGTTCCGGTCACTTATTACTCTTGGACCTTGTCCTCTGCAGAGTGCAATTATGCGCAAATTGACAATGAGGCATTGGCGATCGTAATGGGGGTGAGAAAATTTCACCATTACTTGTATGTGACGGACCATAAACCGCTCCTCAGCCTCTTCGCCCCTGACTGGCTGACCCCGCAAATGGTTTCGCCCCGAGTGCTGCGGTGGTCCATCTTTCTGGCGGGCGAATCTTATGCACTAGTCCACTGGCCCAGTAAGGCGATGGGCCACGCCGATGCCTTGAGCCATCTTCCGCTGCCTGCTTCAGACCCCAATCCCACCCCGGCCCACCTGGTTGCACTGTTGGAAACTCTTCCGGCCCAGCCAATCTATGTCCAGAACCTGGCACATCTCACAGCCAAGGACAGCGTCCTCTGCCATGTCTTAGACTGGGTGGGAAGGGGGTGGCCTGCTGGCCTGGGAGGCCCAGACTTTGCAGCCTTCGCCTCATGCAAGGACAAGCTGTCCTCCTACAAGGGTTGTGTAATGTGGGTTGGTCAGATGGTCATACCCGCTCTGCTACGGGACCGGATGCTCACCGCCCTACATGAATCCCACCTGGGGGTTGTCCGGATGAAGGCGCAGGCCAGGAGCTATGTCTGGTGGCCAGGATTGGACCGAGACATAGAGGACACTGTCAAACGGTGCACCCCTTGCCAGGAATCGCGACCCGAGCCTCCCCGAGCTCCTGCCCGAGCGGGGGATCATCACACAGGCCCTGGGCCCGACTCCACCTGGATTTCGTGGGGCCCTTCCAGGGACAACTGTTCTTCATCCTGGTGGATGCTTACAGCAAGTGGCTGGAAGTGGTACTAGGGCCCTCCATGTCCTCAAAGTCCGCCATCTGTGTAATGTGGAGGATCTTCAGTGCGCAAGGCATCCCCAACACGTTGGTCACGGACAACAGCACGGTGTTCACGTCCTCTGAATTCCAGGACTTCACCCGGTACTATGGGATCTGACATGTCCGCTCAGCCCCATTTGATCCCGCTACCAATGGCCAGGCTGAACGCATGGTGAGGACCACCAAGGACACGCTCCACTGGAGTGACAGTAAGGACTGGGATTATAAACTGGCAGCTTTCCTCTTCGGCCAGCGGACAACTCCTCACACCACAACTGGATGCAGTCCTGCAGAGTTCCTCGTAAAGCACTGCCTGACGACCTGGCTGGACCGCCTGCACCCCGACCAAGCCCCCAAACAGGTACCGGACACAGAGACACAGGATGCGGCCAGGGGATTCTTCCCAGAAGATCCCGTGTATGCCCGCAACTACGCTCGCCCCCCCGGATCCTGGCAAGGGTTGTGAGAGTGACGGGGCCTCGATCCTACAAAGTCTCAGTGGAGGATGGGCAGCTGTTATGGCTTCACATTGATCAGCTGCGCCAGCGAGTTCTCCCTCTCGACCCAGAGGACTTAGTAGACACAGACGCCCCAGAGACAGCAGCCACCGCACAGTCACAGATGACCGCGGGTCCCACAGATGAGGCACCTAGTCTACCCTCTGTCATCCAGCCAGAGGACAGCGCATGCACCCTGAGCAAGACACTGCCGACTGAGCTGTCTTCACCGATGCCGACCAGCCTTCAGGCAAGGGTCCCGGCCCCAGCCGCGGCACCCGAGCTCCACTTTTCTGACTGGGAATGAAAGGCATCTGCTTACTTCAAGGACTTTGTGTGTGGATGTGTTCGGACTATGGGGGGGAGGGGTGTAATGTATCTAAGCCCGACCGCGTGCAAGGCGAGTTCTCCACGCGGTCATGCGAAGCCTCCGAGCTTCGCTCCGGGAGACAATGGCCCGAGCGGATCCTAGCCCACACCAACCAGAGGGCTAGGATCTTGGTCAGGACCTATGGAACTCTCGGCCACTGTATATGGCCTATCACTGAGTGGGGGTGTGTTCTGGGAGTGGGTTTACTGAGCATAGAAGCCAGCCTGCGAGCCGGGGGTTTCTTGTCTTGTTCTGTACCAACAATAAAGTATGAGAGCTGAAATCACTTGCCAGCCTCAGTACTTTTCACATTCAGTGTGGATACACAGTGGATTGGATTCAGCCAACTTTTTTTCACTCATCTTTTCTCCCCTTCTTACTACAGCCCCCATCCCATGCCGCTTTTTTCCATGCAGGTCCCATGATCCCCAGTGTAGCCTTTTTGGGTGAGACCACCTCCTTCCTTTTTCACCAGCGGAAGATTTGATTGGATTGAACCCAGCACCCTGAGCATTTGTAACTGAATCCTGTCCCCTTCATCCCTTGTTATCTTTGTTTCTCCTGTTTTGCTCTTATATCTTGATGATAACTTTAGATTGTAAGCTCCTTGGAGCAGAGACTTGCCTTGGGGACCAGGCATTTATTTAGAATAGCTGTATCTAGGAATATAACTAGGGATATGACGTTGAATTGTCACAGTCAGATATTTGACTGGTAGACAGCGTTCTACAATTGGAGATTAAGCCAAATTCTTGGGAATTGCAGATGTATCTTCAGAGCATTTTTGCTATTCCAAGAAACGCTGTCTTTTGGAGCTGAGCTGGTGTTATTTGTTCAATGCCCAGAATGTCCAGGTGTTTCTTGAGACCTTTATTCATACGTCTTGGTATTTCATGGTCTTCTCCTGTTCTTTCTTTTCTATTCTGCTTTCTCCTGGGATTGCAGTGTCAATGATCCAAACCTCATTTCTCATTTTTTCTACAATTATGATATCAGGGGTATTATGTTCCAGGTGTTTATCTGTTTGCAGACAGAAATCCCAAAGAAACTTTGTTTCATCATTCTGGTTGATTGTGTCAAATTTGTGCTCCCATGAATTTCTGGCTGAAGATTCCAGTGCACTATAGCTGCAACTCTATCATGATGTTCTTTATAGTCAGTTTGAGTAATTCTACTGCAGGCGCTGACCATGTGGTCAACTGTTTCATCCTTTGTCTTGCAAAGCTGACATTTGCTGTTATCACTGGTCTTCTGAATCTTGGCTTTTATACTTTTCATTCTGAGTGCCTGCTCTAGTGCAGTTAGAATGAGTCCTTCAGTTTCTTTCTGATTACAATCTTTTTGTAATCTTCTTTGGTTTATGTAACCTTGTCTGCCTTGTACACTTCAACTAGAAGCTTCTCTTTGCTTTTCTTGATGTTGTCATTCAGTGTTCATTTTTCTTCTTCAACTGCTTGCTTAATCTTCAGGAGACCTCTTCCACCTAATTTTCTTGGTAAGTAGAGATGATCAACATCACTTCTAGGCTGTAGTGAATGTTGCACAGCCATTATCTTGCAAGTTTTGTGATCTATTGCTTCTAAATTCTGCTTGTTTCCAATCAGTAATGCCAGCTGTATATCCTAGGACTGGGACTGCCCAAATGTTAATTGCCCTTTTGCCTACATTTAATTGTGTTTGCGATATCTTTTAAATTCTTTGGTCATACTCCTTGGTTATATTTTTCTTAACAAGGGAATGTTTGACGCTGTCAGCTTCCAAAATGCCAAGATATTTGTAGTTTCCTTTGAAGCTCAGTGTTTTGCTGCTGTTGTTGTTGTTTGGTATTATTATTGTTATTTTTGTTTTGTTTCCGAGCAGCAAATCTCTCCCTGTCTGTATCTAGTTATATCCCCTGGGGATATGGTTTAAATCCTGCCCAGGCCGTGCACTCTCTCCTCCCTCATGAAAGATGATACTGGCCTACCTTACAAGATTCTCGTGAGGATTAAAGCAAGATCAAATAGGTGAAGCACTTGGAATAACTGAAAGCACTATACAAATACTGAGTGTTATGATTCGCCTTGTGCTGTACAACGGCAAGTCTGTGAGCAATGAGAAAGAAGCCTCGCCATCTGAAGAAACACTCCAAAGAGCCCCTCCCCCATACCGTCCTGCTGACTCTGTCCCCATCCAGTGACCCAACATGGTTCTCCGTCTGCGAACTGTACAGAAGAATCTGGCAAGCAGATGGGAAGGACGTTGCTGGTGAAATTTACGGGCGATGACAGCTTCACTAGGGCAATATCCCCACTGGAGCCCTCGTTGCCATCGTAGGCAGGGTTGGAGCACATGTGGCTCATGGTGAATATTCGTCGATCTCCCGAGGTAGGGTTTTGAAGCTGATAGGCTCCCACCTCCACATCATATTCATCCATGTTCCTGGAAGTATGAAAACAACGGTAAGGATACAACAGACGAAGGATGCTTGCCCAACTAGACCTGGGATTTCTGTGAGCCCTCAGAGCCTGCCTCGAGGAGCTCTCAAGCTTCACCTCCTTGAGTTCCTTGCTGGCGATGCCCAGCAGCACAATGGCTCTTTTCAAAACAGCCAGCCAGGAGATCCAGGAGCTGATTGCCCACAGCTGTTTTAAAGTGTAAATTACAATCCTGTTGTTAGAGAATGAACTTGATATTTTGATTTATGAACTATAGTTATTGCTACACACACAATGGACTGTGCACACACACACACAGGCTCAGAAGACTGTACACTTTAAGTCACCTGTTGTGATGCAACACATAGAAGGTGCCTGCACAAGCCTTACACGTGTAAATAAGGTTTTAGCTACACAGTTACCGGCCTGGTGAAGAAGCGCACACCACCATTATTGTGAGCTGTAAGAAACAACAACTTGAGCAGAGACAGCCCCCATTGCTGAATCATTTGTGGTCACGTACCACACATCACTGCTTTGTTCCTGCTTTGGTATTTCCTGACAAATGGACATTTGGTTTACAATGGAATGGCCAGCTTCATCAACACTACAATGAAGCATCCTGACGCCAAGGTTTTCACACCTGCCCAGATGCCCTTCCTTGAGTAAGGTATTAGGTTTCAATATTGGCCACTCCTGTTAGGTAACCACCCCTCCCTCCATGCAACCAATAGGATTGTATTTGGGACGGACTAACAGGGAGGTGGGCCAGGAGGTTGGCACGGCCACCACCCACCTCCTGGATCCCCCGATAAAAGGAGAGAACCAGTCACATGGTCTCTCTCTCTCTCCTACTTGATCAACTAGCATCTCCCCCGCAGCAGCCCCTGTCTGCTTTTTACTCCTCTTAAGTCCCATTTGCTATCCCCAAACCCTTGCCTCTACTTTGGTCTCTTGATCCGCAGTCAAGAGACCCACACGTTCTGGTTGTGTGTGAACTCCCTTTAGTTTCCATTTCTTCCCCTCTATTCTTCATTGGAACAACCAAAGCTGCGAAGACAGAGAAGTATAGCCCATCATCATCCCCACCTGCTAACGCAACTGTGCTTATTTTAATACTGTATTTCCAAGGAACTTGATTGAATGTGTGAGTGCATCAGTATTGTTTGTATGAGATTTATTTTCTTAAGTAAAAGACATCTATTTTAACAACAGCAGCCTTGTTATGCTTCTCTGGTAACCCTTGGTGGGAGCAGGACCTTGGTATAGTTGGCAAGGACCCATTTATAAATTGCCAATTGCTGTAAATAAAGCAATTCAGCTAACACTGTGTCCTTTATCCCTCAGTTTGAGTTGACAGCCGGCATGGACTAGGACCTAGGAGACTGAGGCTCAAACCTAGGGTTGCCAGCCTCCAGGTGGAAAGTAATACAAAAGATCAAACCGTGCATAAATAACAAAAAATATATATTCAACATTCAATGAGTATGATAATCTAGACCTATATAAATAGAGTCGTTTTTCAAAAATACAACAGAATAGAAACTCAAAAATACATGGTCCAAATACACAAGCGGTCCTATTAATCCACCCTCAGAAATAGTCCAAGTCAAATTCCTCAAACGGTGAAAAGTCCAAATACAGATGTTTATAATTCCTCTTCAAATAACTTGTCTCGCTGCTTGTGTATCCACTTCATGGCCCCGTCAGCTTCAAGTGGCCGAATCGCCTTGGTTCTTCAAAAGCGGAATACCGAAACTGCCCACCTCCAGTATAGAATAATATATAACAACCTGGAGCTGGCAACCCTAGGACTTGTGATCAGTATCAGATACTCACTTAGTCAAGCAGTGAGCCGCCGTCAGCACCCATTGCTCGTTTATGAGGGAGCCTCCGCAAATGTGCTTGCCTCCCTGCAGGATGCTGACCTGCCAGGGCCACTCTCCGTCATTGGCCGGCTGCCCCCCAACGATGCGCGTGGAGTACCCTTTCTGCCCACAGTCTGAAAAGCAAAGAAAAGGGGGGGGGGAGAGAGAGGATGAAGCAGGGCAGATGGCAATAAGTATGAAAATACTATCAAACCAGAGCCCAGTGATGTTTTGGAGAGGAACAGAATTTATTCATCGAATGCTTTGGAGGGAACGTCCATAAGGCTGATGCATTTATTACAGAGAAGGTGGCTAAGTTTCTCTCCTTGGCTTTAAAGCTGCGTCTAAGGTTCTTTTAGATTTTTATATGTGTGCTTTCAACTGGTTTTAAAATGTATAAATGGTACTGATATTTTAGGCCAATAAAGGCTGACTTGACTATTATCACAACAGAAACGGGTGGGGGGAGAGAAATATTACAAAGGCAGGCTGGTTTTTGCATATAAATATTAAAGCACTGGGTTTACTGAAGTACTCTTCCAATGCATCTGGTGAAGTGAGCCCTGACCCACGACAGTTTGTACTGGAACAGATTTTGTGTATCTTTAAAGTGCCACCGGACTCCTGTTTTACGGCTACAGATTAACATGGCTATGCCTCCGGGATTATCTTTGAAGCGAGAAATGAAACACATCAGATCACAACTCTCTTTAACATGAATTTTCCTATGAATATTTGTACTGGTATTTTCGGACAGCCCCATCCATGGATGCTCTTGAGGCTGGCGGGCCATTGTGTCTGGCAACTGTATTGCATTCATATTTGTTAGCAGGATTTTTTTTTGTGTGTGTGACCCTCAAAAATAAAATTTTGAAACTGCTATATGTCAAGCAACCAAGGTCAGATTTTGAAAATTCAGCAAGACATTTAGAACCTGTGAAGCTGCTAATATAAATAAAACCTTAGTTGTAGATTTTCTGGGTCGTATGGTCGTGGTCTTGGCATTCTGGTACCTGATGTTTCACCAGCAGCTGTGACTGGCATCTTCAGAGGTATAACACAGAAAGATGGAGTACTCTCTGTGTCAACGTGAGAAGAAAAATGGTAGGCAGGTAATTTATATCTCAGGAAGGTGGGGTAGGGCTGAGTCATTATCTTGTAGGAGTTTCCCAGGCTGTGACATGCTAATGGAGGAGCTTTCCTGAGGAGGTTCTTTTGCATATGGAGTGGCTGTCAAAGTCCTAATCTTATCTGTAGTGCTGTTGTCAGATGTAGAACATTTTGTGTTTTTCAGGACAGGGAACCATGCCCTATTTATTTTTAAACTCTCTTCTTTCCTGTTGGAATTGTGTTTATATTTATGAATGTCAATGGCTTTCCTGTGTAATCTGACATGGTAACTGGATGTGTTGTCCAGCCTTTCAGTGTCTTGGAATAAGATACTGTGTCCTGTTTGAGTTAGGCTATGTTCAGCCACTGCTGATTTTTCAGATTGGCCAAGTGTCTTTCATGTTCTTTTATTCTTGTTTGGATGCTGCGTTGCGTGATCCTGATGAAAACCTGTCCACAACTGCAGGGTATGCGATATACTCCTGCAGAAGTGAGGGGGGTCACAGCTGCTGGCGAAACGCCAGGTACTACAATGCCAGGACCACAGCCATACAGCCCGGAAAATCTACAACAACTAATGAACTCCGGCTGTGAAGGCCTTCGACAACATAAATAAAACCATTGGACCATCTGGCCCAAGGCTGCCTACTCTGACTGGCATCAAGCATTAGAAGGACCACAGTGTAATTACAGAACCATAAACACAAAAAAAATCACTGTAATGAGATACTGAATATTTAAATATAATATATATATGATGACAGTTTATGTGTCCTTTGGAATTCAGATATTAAATATTACAAAAAAAACCATGTAAAACCTGAAGGTCTAAACAAACAATTGCAAGAACAAGATAAGTACAGATTTGTAGAACATCAACACCAAGGAAGAACCATCAAGGAAAGTATCTTCACACAAGGAATCCTGGGTATAGACTCTCTCGTTTCAATACACTTCTTCAGTGAGCCCAACAGTAATTTACAACTATTTAAGAGGTCCTCTCCAAAGTTTATACAATGTACCATTAAAGGTGATAGCCATTCCACTGAAAACCTGTGTCTATTGTTGAATTCTTATGTATGGGCACCAGTCAAATATGTCAATATAGAGATTAATCAGAACTTTCTACTGCTGGTATAGCTTCTGATGAACATATGAGCCTGGGATATCTAAATAAATACAAGTAGTTAGGTGAGGCGAGAAATTGCAGCAATCACCTGAGGTACCAATTACTAGATAGAGCACAGATGGACATGAGTGATCCAGTCAAATGAGGAAAAGATCCCATCTGAAGTGGATCCCCTCACAGAGGGTGATTAATTGGAATAGCAAGGTGAATAAGTGTACACACACTTCTCAAAAGGGACCAGGGGTCATTGGGGGGGGGACGCCATCCCCCCGGGTGAGGTGCGGGAGGGCGGGGCCTGGAGCTCCCTGCTGGTGCCCGCTGGAGGTCGCCACCGGCTGTGGGGAGGACACACTTCCGGTGATGTCAGGGGGTGTGGCATATGCTAATGAGTTATGCTAATGAGTCCCCCTAGCTCTTTTTCTACGAAATGACCCCTGAAAGGGACAATTACTTTCTGTGGCGAGCCGGCCACTCCTTGTACCTACTGAGACGGCTTTCCTGCAATCTCTCACTATTGAGGGAACCAGACAGCAAAGGAACAGCTCTGTCCCTCTCTCCGAGAAGGTCTGGTCTCCAAACCAGTTCTGAAATAGCCTACGGCTCTTCCCGGAGAATGGATAAATGGACTGGCAGACAAGGACAAAAATATATAAGATGACTCATTGTTAGCTGTTCATGTACTTCAAAGGCTTGTCTCCACCACCACCCAAAACAGTCCTCCCCCCCCCTACCGATTTCCATTCAGACTATCAAAGTCAGTTTCCCATGCCAAGATACACCTTTGTTTACCTTAAGGTTTGTTTACCCCTTCGGGCTCCGCACTTTATTCTCACCGCTCGCAAACTAGACTTTCCCTTAATGTTGTATTAATTGCATTACTGTGATTTTTATGTGGCATGTAAGGCAGGGTTAACCAAGTGGTTAAGACGCTGAACTGCAGGCTGTGGAAGGTCGGTAGTTCAGCAGTTCGAGACCCGGGGGCCGCATGACGGAGTGAGCTCCAGTCTCTAGTTCCAGCTCCTGCCAACCTAGCAGTTCGAAAGCAAGAAATTGCAAGTAGATAAATAGGTACCACTTCGGCGGGAAGGGAACAGCATTCCGTGCACCTTGGTGTTTAGTCATGCCGGCCACATGACCACGGAAACGTCTTCGGACAGCGCTGGCTCTTTGGCTTGGAAACGGAGATGAGCACCGCAACCCTAGAGTCGGACTCGACTGGCTTTCGAGCAAGGGAACCTTTACCTTTACTTTAAGGTAGGGTTCCCAGGAGGTCTCCCATCCAGCTCCAGACCAGACCTGTCTTTACTACAGCTATATCCACAGGAGGATGTGAAATTGTGCCTTGGACAATCACAGCAGCAGCAGGAGGAGGAGGAGGAAGTAGCACAGGAGAGAAAGGCATCCACCAGGGTTGCCAGTCTCCAGGTGGGTTAATGCAAAGAGAAAAGCCGTGAACAAATTACTATGAATCAATGTATACACTGAATTCATAGTAATTTGTTCACAATTTTTCTCTTTGCATTAACTCTCTTTCCGTGAATCTCTCATTGGCACTGGAGAGACACTGGAATGTGATGTAGAAGGTAAGAATTGAATGCGCTCTGAATCCAGGGCAAAACATAGATGCAGAAAGGGCCTTAGTCTCCTGGTGGGGGCTGAAAACCTCTTAGAATTACAAGTGTTCTGTATCTGGCCAAGGGAACTTTAACTCTGGAAAGCTTTTTACCCCCCCCCCTACAATTTGTTGGTCTGTAAAGATGCTACTTTATGCCGGCCACATGACCACGGAAACGTCTTCGGACAGCGCTGGCTCTTCGGCTTTGAAACGGAGATGAGCACCGCAACCCTAGAGTCGGACTCGACTGGCTTTCGAGCAAGGGAACCTTTAGCTTTACCTAAGATGCTACTGGACTCAAATCTAACTGTTCTTTTTTTTTGAGGTTTTAAATAATTTTATTCAAAGATAAATCAAGTATACATAAACAAGATTGCTGTGTAAACATTAACACAAACTGAGTGCAGATACATATCTCACAATGCCATCTATTAATTTGTCAGCAGAATCATCCCATAACCACATCCTTATCACTTTCTTGTGCTTTTCCAATTGTCCTCCTATTACTAAAGTAATAACGTATAATAAATCCAGATATATTTTAGAAGGAACCACAATAGTATTTTATGAGAGTGCTCAGACCATAAAAAATTCTTATAGATGCATCCATTCTGCATAGCTAGCATTCGCTGGTAATATATCGTTTTCTGTAAAATATGTTATAAGAGGACACCATTTTCGAATGAATCTGGAATGGGACCACGCATACCCTGGTGTGTGGGATTCATATTTATCTGCTACTTTATCCATCACAAAGTGGTCCCAACATTTATTTCTCCAGAGATCAGGTCCCCTGAAGGAAATGGCTGCTTTGGAGAGTACTGAGGCCCCTCCTTTCCCGAAACCCTGCCCTCCTTCAGCTCAGCCCCCCAATCTCCAGGAATTTTCCAACTCAGAGTTGGCATCCTACCCCCACCCATTCCTGCACACTCACTGGAAATAGGTATGCCAGCCTCCAAGTGGGACTTGGGATCCCCCGGAATTACAGCTCATCTCCGGACTGCAGAGAGCAGTTCCCACGGAGGAAATGGCTGCTTTGGAGGGTGGACTCTGAGGTCCCTGTCCTCTCCAGGCTCTTCTACCCCAAATCCCCAGGAGCTTCCCAGTCTGGATCTGGCAACTCTACCCCCCCGATCCCCAACCGGTGGGCAGGGGGTCCTGGCAACTAGGGTTGCCAACCTCCAGGTGGGGCCTGGGGATCTCCCGCTTTTACAACTGATCTCCAGCTGGCAGAGGTCAGCTCCCCTGGAGAAAATGGCTGCTTTAAGGGTGGACTCTGTGGCATTGTACTATGCTGAGGCCCCTCCCCTCCCCAAACCCCGCCCTTTCCCGGATCCACTCCCAAAGTCTCCAGGTATTTCCCAACCCAGACCTGGCAACCCTACTGGCGACCCTAACTGGCACTGCTACCTCCAGCCCCTGCTCCCCTCCTTTTTCCTGTCTCACTTGTGAGAAAGCACCGATGTAATGGTGATTTCTTTGGGACAACCCATGTATGGTCTGGAAGCCCCCTTCCCCTTCACTTTTTCTACCACACCATGTTGTAATGCTACAGTGTGGCTTAGTAAGGAAAGGGGGGGGGAGCCCTTTAAAGGACTGAAGGGAGGGGTGGTGTCACGTGTGGCAGCAAAATACCCCCCCCCACCATTTTGACAGCAGAGCTTAGTTCCTCCCCTTTCTCCTCAGTAGTGACAGCAATCCACACAGAAGTCACCCTCTGGAGAGTCCCATTTGAGCCAGATAAAACCATGTTTATTTTAAATTCAGGGGAAAGGGGAAAGTCACTAGTCATGCTCAGAATGAGCACAGTGACACACACAGACATGCCCCTTTAATGTGGGGGAGGGTCTCTTGCTATCCATGCAGGGGGAAATCCCCTCAAGGTCAGTGAGGAAGTTTGCTAGCTCTGGGTTGGGGCTCTTTAGCTTGGAGAAATGATGGCTGAGGGGTGACATGATTGAGGTTTATACAATTATGCATGGGATAGAGCAGGTAGAGAAAGAGGTACTTTTCTCCCTTTCTCGCAATACAAGACCTCGTGGGCGCTCAATGAAATTGCTGAGCGGTCGGGTTAGAACGGATCAAAGGAAGTACTTCTTCACCCAAAGAGTGATTAACACATGGAATTCACTGCCACAGGAGGCGGTGGTGGCTACAAGCATGGACGGCTTCAAGAGGGAATTAGATAAACATATGGCTCAGAGGTCCATCAGTGGCTATTAGCCACAAGGTATAGATAGGAACTCTCAGGTTGGGGCAAGTGATGCTCTGTATTCTCGGTGATTGGGGAGGGGGCAACAGTGGGAGGGCTTCTAGTGCCCTGGCCCCACTGGTGGACCTCCTGATGGCACCTGGTATTTTTGGCCACTGTGTGACAGATAGGGTTGCCAAGTCGCGGCGGGGGATCGCGTGTCTTTGCAGAATCCATGCCGCGGGGATGGCGAGACGCGTTGCACCCGCCGTCGCCAGGACATGATGCTACGCGTCACTCTGGCAACAGGGCTCCAAACAGCCCTGTTGCCAGAGCGACGCGTAGCGTCATGTCCTGGCAACGGCGGTGCAACGCGTCTCACCACCCCCGCGGCACGGATTCTGCAAAGACACGCGATCCCCCGCCGCGATTTGGCGAGATTTGGGAGCCCTAGTGACAGAGTGTTGGACTGGATGGGCCACTGGCCTGATCCCACATTGGCATCTCTTATGTTCTTATGTAATGCCTGGAGGTTTTGATGGTGGAACCTGGAGAAGGTGGGGTTCAAGGAGGCCACGCTGCCCACCCTTCAAAGCAGCCATTTTCTCAAGGGAACTGATCATGGTCATCTGGAGATCAATTGTAATAGTGGGAGATCTTCAGGTGCTACCTGGAGACTGGCAACCTTATCAATGAGGTGGATCTCTTTCTTTAGTACAGTTTCATTCTGCCCTTCCTCTGCGGAACTCTGAGCACAGCGCTTGGTTTTCCCTTCCTCATTTTATCCTCACAACGGCCTTGTGAGGTAGAGTGACTGCCCCAAGGACACTCTGATAGCAGCTTCATGGTAAAGTGGCCAATTGAACCCAGGTCTCCAGGACTGCATTCTGATAAACTAACCATTACCTCACTGTGCCCTACCTTGAAAAACTGATGAGAGTGAATGCTTTCAGTGACCCAGTCAGGGCAAGTTTTATCATCCCATCAGAACTGCATTCCAGAAAGCGAAACCCCAATTAAGCTGAAATGGACTTCTACTGTTCTTTCTGCTGCTACCTTTGAACATGAACACACACACACACACACACAGAGGTTAACCATACCAGAGTTTTGTAGACACCCCTCTTAGGTACATAACCCCGCTCCCGGCTTGCGAAATTTCTGTGTAAAAAATCTTTCCAGTCTGTTAAAGCCCTCCTACCTGTCTCTGAGCGAGCAGCACCTGAGGGGAGGAAACAAAAGAGAAAAGGCCTGTCAGCTGAGACTCAAAACATTGAAGAAGAGGCATTCTCCCCCCCCCTTGCTAAAATGGCATGCATTAGTCAGACTAAGGGCTGCACACTGTCCCCAATTTGTGGAAAAACCAGCTTCTTGGATAATGGGCTCTCAATAAGTTTCTAGTAAGGTTTCCATCCTCCAGGGGGGCCCCTGGAAATCCTCAGTATACACCTGACCTCGAGAGAGCTCAGTTCCCCTGCACAAAATGGCTGCTTTGGAGGGTGGGCTGTGTGGTGTTATACCCCTATGAGCTCTCACCACTCTCAACCGCTGCCTTTCCCAGGCTGTTTCCCCCAATTACCAGGAATTTCCGAGGCTGGAGTTGGCAACCCCAGTTTCTAACCAGTTTCAGGATTCATACACTGATTTTAATCCCCTTGCCTTTTTTGGGGGGGGTGTGTGTCTTTAGTTGCAGAACCCACTTTGAAAGCTGAGCGTAACAATACAATATAAGTTAAACGGACAGCAGCTAACTTCTGACTTGTATCATTCTTCTCTCCTCCGGCTTGTCTCCATGGCATACTGACAATGGGACCGGTCACTCAGATATTTGGGATTGGGGGAAAAGGATCCCAGCAGAAACATGGACCTTTCCGGAGGCCTCCATACTTTATCTTGTAGAAACTAAACCCAATATTATAGGACTTTCTACCTGTTAGCTGAAAGGTAAAGGTAAAGGTTCCCTTGCTCGAAAGCCAGTCGAATCTGACTCTAGGGTTGCGGTGCTCATCTCCGTTTCAAAGCCGAAGAGCCAGCGCTGTCCGAAGACGTTTCCATGGTCATGTGGCCGGCATGACTAAACACCAAGGCGCACGGAACGCTGTTACCTTCCCACCGGAGTGGTCCCTATTTATCTTCTTGCAATTTCTTGCTTTCGAACTGCTAGGTTGGCAGGAGCTGGAACTAGAGACAGGAGCTCACCCTGTCTTGCGGCACCCGGGTCTTGAACCGCTGAACTACTGACCTTCCACAGCCTGCAGTTCAGAGTCTTAACCACTTGAGCCACCGCAGCTCGTTAGCTGAAAACACTGCAACAAACAGTCACCTGTCTTCTAGCTACCAGCCGTCTTCCTTTAACTGCTAGGACTCACTTTCCTCTCAGAGCTATGGGACGGGAAAGAGGCCCCTTTGTCTCCACATGACAATTCTGGGATTTCTACTCCATCCTGGATTTAAGACACCCCCCCTTTTAATCCATCCCCTCCGCTCTTTGCACTCCCCCCAAGAGAGAAAAGGCTACAAATGCGAGTCTCCCGTCTTTCAGTGACCCTACCCCAGCGCCAATCACCTTGTAGCACAGCCAACAGAAGCAGCCCCATGGCCAGGAAAGGGGGCACTATGGACATGGTGCCCCCTTCTGCTTCTCTAATCCTTCTGAGGTGCCTTTGCTGGTCGCTCCGCTCCAGTCACATCCAGGAAACAGGTGTCTAGCCGCTGTGTGTCATAATGTTATCTGCGTTATAAAATTTTCATAGCAAGGACAGGGCTGCTGGAGTTTCCTCCTCCTTGGGCATGCAGCTAAAGCTTGTAAAAAACACCCCCCCCATCCCTGAATTCTCTACATGCCAGCAGAGTCGCAGATCCTGTCCTTCTCTCCTGGTTTCTAGCACTGACCCCTTTTTTAAGGGGGGTGGGGAGTAGCATTCCTGTCCCTTTAAAACAACAGGGGGGAAAATCAATTGGGAGAGACTAAGAAAAAATCCGGCTGTTGAAATTTTGCTTTGCAAGGCAGCTAATAAAAGCATAGGGACCCTGCTAGGGAAAAGAAAGTAGCAGCTCCACCTAGTTTCTTTCTACCCCCTTGTTCACAAAACCGCGATTCTCACTTGGTGCTCAGACACATTTTTGCGACCCCGTTCACCCTCAGATTCTCTAGGCTGCTGATTATATGTATTATATCTTGGGATGAAACCTTTGCCCCTCTGCACTCTCCACCAAAACAGCTCAGCTTAGCAACATTTGCAATCATATCCAAAACAGGTTACCCAACTCTGGGTTTGGAAATTCCTTGAGATTGGGTGGGGTGGGGATGGAGCCTGGCTGGGAAGGGTGGAGTTTGGGAAGGGGAGGGAACTCAGCAGACTATAATGGCATGGAATCCACCCTCCGAAATAGGCATTTTCTCCAGGGGAACTGATCTCTATATTCTAGAGACCAGCTGTAATTCCAGATCTCCAGGCCACACCTGAAAGTTGCCAACCTTGACTCAAAAGCAAGCAGCGTTTGTGGGGATTGCCTGGAAGGGGAGCGGCAAATCAGCCGGACCTGAGCCAGTTAACCCTTTCCTGACCAGTGTTCCCTCTAAGCTGAGTTGGTGTGAGCTAGCCTGGCTCACAGTTTTTTAGCCTCCAGCTCACACACTTTTGTCTTAGCTCAGGAAGGAGGGCCCCCTAATTTAGGCAGCAGCCAAATCGCTCGCTCAGCACTTTAATGCCAGTCGCTCACAAAGTAGAATTTTTGCTCACAAGACTCCACAGCTTAGAGGGAGCACTGATCCTGACCAACTTCAGTCTCAGCGGCTCTGACCTATCTTTTTTTCTTTTTCTCCCAGAGTGCTTTGCTTCTTCTTTTTTAAAAATGGGAGTGAGATTTATAAGATTCTGGAGTTGCCTCTTTGGTCTGCAATAAAGATTTGCCTCAAGAGTAGGCATCTTATTAGGGAGGGGGGCAGAAAAATAAATATCCCATTTCACTGACCCCGGTACCTGATTTTAATCATTCATCACAAGTCACCTTGCTATAACTTGCCTGAGTGAAAGAATGTGTGCCTTTGGGCATGTGCAGAATGCCTTTCCTCACCAATGAATAACCACTAGCAAGCTCCTGTTCTCACCTCCTTCCCAAAATCCAAGATTAGGACTAAAGGACTGAAGAGGCAACATAAGCAGGTTTCAATTCCAGAGCCAGTTTGGTGTAGTGGTTAGGAGCAGACTCTAATCTGGGAGAACGAAGTTTGATTCCCTACTCCTACACATGCAGCTGCTGGTGTGACCTTGGGTCAGTCACAAGTTCTTTCAGAGCTGTTGTCTCAAGGGCAGTTCACAAAAGGGCTCACTCAGCCCCACCTACCTCATGAGGTGTCTGTTGTGGGGAGAGGAAGGGAAACTGCTCTGAGACTCTTTCGGGTAGTGAAAGGTGGGGTATAAATCCAGTGTCCTCGTCATCTTCTTACAGAAAACCAAGTACATCAGTACCGAAGGTCAAAGGAGCATAATATCCAGACAATCTTAAGCCACTACCTCTCAGAACAGAAAAATGAGGTCGTTGGGAGGATCTAACCCAGGGACCTCCTACCGATGGTCCCTCTAAACTGGAGTTTTGTGAGCAAAAATTTCCCTTTGTGAGCTACGGCATTAGAGTTGTGAGCGAGCGATTTGGCTACTGCATAAATTAGTTTGCTCTGGAGCCATCCTTCCTGAGCCAAGGCAAAAATCTGTGAGCCAGAGGCTAAAAAACTGTGAGCTAGCTCACACTAACTCAGCTTAGAGGGAACATTGTCCCGAACGTTTTTGAGTCTATTGGCACCTGTGGAATTCTGACACAGCAGGGGGTGGGTGTAACCCCCAAATGGCTGCCACAGGCGGTAGATCCAATCACACACCCAGAGGAAGCCCTAATGCAGGGGATAAGAGGAGGAATTTTTAAAAATACACTTGGAAAGAGGAATGAGAGAATAAAACTAATACTCTGGTGGCAGCTACTGCCAAAGCATTATTTTAATCTGCACAGCCAATTGGATTCGGTTGGCAGCTCTGGGCTGGGTAATATTTGGAGATTTGGGGGGCGGATGGAGGCTAAGGAGGGCGGGGTTTGAGGAGGGAAGGGAACTCAGTGGGGTATAATGCCATAGAATCTACCTTTGAAAGCAGCCATTTTCTCCAGGTGAATGGATCACTCTTGCCTGGAGATCAGTTGTAAACCCAGGAGTTCTCCAGCCACCAACTGGAGGATGGCAAACCTATGAAGGCCCACCCACTTTCTAAAAACCCTTGGTGGGTGCCAGGAAAGGTTTCAGTGGGTGCCATGGGCACCACATTTGGGACTCCTGACCCAGAGAATAATCCCTTCTTGGAATGGCGAGACAGTGAACACTCTGGGCATGTACAGAGTGCTTTGCCTTTACTACAAATAACTACAAATATCTACCTTCCTTGTATCAGAGGATTATTTCTAGGCTGGAAGGTTTGCTTTGTGGCAGCTGTCACTCAACAGTCTCCCAGTTTCGCAAGGAAGGCTGCAATCCTTAAGACGCATTCTTGGGAGCAAACCCCATGGGATATCCTTTTAAGAAGACCTGTTCAGGATGGCTCTTATGAGCACAGGCTGATTGTCATCTCCCCCACCGCTTAACTTCCTAAAATAACTTTGAATCCTCCCACCCCTTATGCCCTGTAGCTCCTCTTAAGAGAAGAATAGGGGTGTGTTGATTAAGTCAACAACAGACATAATATGATCATAGGCAAATCCTCGTTCCTGGGCATGCCTGGTTGCAATCACCATGGCAGGTGTAAACTGAAGGTAAAGGTAAAGGTTCCCTTGCTCGAAAACCAGTCGAATCCGACTCTAGGGTTGCGGTGCTCATCTCCGTTTCCAAGCCGAAGAGCCAGCGCTGTCCGAAGACGTTTCCGTGGTCATGTGGCCGGCATGACTAAACACCAAGGCGCATGGAATGCTGTTACCTTCCCACTGAAGTGGTACCTATTTATCTACTTGCAATTTCTTGCTTTCGAACTGCTAGGTTGGCAGGAGCTGGAACTAGAGACGGGAGCTCAATCCGTCATGCGGCACCCGGGTCTCGAACTGCTGAACTACCGACCTTCCACAGCCTGCAGTTCAGCGTCTTAACCACTTGAGCCACTGCAGCTCCATACTGAAGGTAGGAAGCAATAATCTGGCACTACTAGCTCAACTGCATTATATTTGGCACATCGTTAATCCCAATGTTATTTTTTTAACCAGGTAAAAAATAGCCTCTCTCTTCAAAGCCGCATAGTGGTGACGGCATGCATTCTCAAATACCATGTGGCACAATAAGCTGTGGTGTGCGGAAGTGCTGTACTGTTATTCAGTACAACATTATCACATTCCACCCCACGAAATCACTGGACCCAACCTTAACATCATCAGGTCTGGCCAAAAGTCTAAGTACCTAGAGAAACCAGAACCTCTCCCTGCAGCATACTCCCCTCCCCTTTACTATTACACTTCTGGCGACAGGACTGTAAATTCAGAGTTTAATTCAGATTTAGAATCTCAGCTTGTGGGTGGAGAAATGACGGCTTTAATGCTCAGAACCCTTTCCTGGGCGGAAGCCACCACTGACTAAAACGGGACTTACTCCTGAGTAGATCTGCTTAGGCTTGCTCCCAAATTCTGTTTCACTGCACCACCTGCATTGTGTAGATCATGGCTAATTGTTATGTTTGTCCATGGGATTCCCTGTGCAAGAAGGGAGAGGAGAAGGTCATGTGCACAAGACCAGCAATAAAACTAAGTTTGTGCACATCAGTTCAATGCAGTGCCTGAAAGCAGCCTATGTAAATGCTATATATTTTATTAAACAGAGATGCTGATATCTTAAGTGGCAGCATACCACTTGGCCTGAATATAAACAGACACCACCAGGAAGTACCATGGTGTGCACATGGGAATCTGAAGACCCTGTACTGATGCACCACATGGTGAGGAAACCCCCCCACCCGGCTTGCCCCTAAACTCAAGGAGACAGAACAATAGTAATTTCCTATTCCACTGAAGTGGGTTACCAATGGTAACTGGTCATTTCTGTGCCTTGTAGGAACACCCCCCCACCCCAGAATCCTGGCTACACCCCTTTTGCTTTAACCACTCGATACTGCTTCTCTTCCGGAGCAGAAACAGACCCTGTCACGCATTTTTCAAATCCCTCCCTTGCTTAGGTTACGGAACCTCTCTCTCTTTTGACCTGTGTTCCATTCCCTTCCTTGGCTCTGAGGCAATTAAGTGGATTAATATTCAACACAAAAGTTGGTGTTTAACCTTTACTGAATGTACTCCAGTTTCAGTTGGAGAGAATTAGGTTCCAGAGAAGGACGCTCCTTAAACCATCTTCTGAGGACACCCGTTGGGGTGTTCTTGTCCCTCCCATATTGTTGCAGTTTTAGTGACCCATCAAAATCCTTGTAACGTCCTTGTAACGTCTTTTAAGAGGACCTTCTTTATTAGGACCTTCTTTTGGACCAACTCTGCTGATAACAACTTCTTCCAACTGAACCTGCTAACTGAACCTGCCCTTCCCAAACAAAAGAAGACTGCTCCTGTTAACCATTATTTTGTCCTACCTTTGTCTCTTTCTGGGACCCGCTGA